TCGGAGACGGAACCCTGTCCAGGGGCCTCCACATTCTCCAGGGCCGACTCATAGAGCCCCTCGCTGTCGGAGTCTGGTGGCAGCTCCAACGGCTCTTGCCGGGCCACAACAAGCATATATGTATATATAATAGAGAGATACAAAGAGGGGAAAAATATAATTAGGATAGATTAGCGAAGGTAAGGGAACAAGAAAAGATACAAATTATATTTGGGTTTGCCAAAATACCATCCAAAGGAAACATAAATTGAGACCCGAAGGAGACACCTATAATAATGGAAAAGAAAGAGAGAGAGGAGGAGAGAATGAAAGGAAGTTGGGGGAAAGAAGAAAGAGGTAAGGAGAGGAGGATGGTAGGGAGAGGAAGAGAAGGAGAGAGGGTAGGTAGGGGAAAAGGAAGAGTAGGAGTAGGAGAAAGGTAGGGGAAAAAGGAAGGGAATGGAGAGGAGGAAGGAGGAAAGTAGAGAAGGGGGAGGGAGAAAAGAAAGGGAAAAGAAGGTGGTGTTACAACAGGAGGAAAGGATGGTAAACAAAGCAATTCAAACTATACCTATATTATAACCTATAAAATGGAATTACAAATGTATAAGAATGATAAATGTAAAGAAGAAAAATAATTATGTGAATGTATACGTAAAATGGTATGTAAGAGAATAAAAAATAAATAAAAATGTTCTGAAAAGAATATCCTGAGTTAGTCGAACAACTCATCATTTTCAGAGACCTGGCCAAAGAGAAGACATTAAATAAGCATGCTATTTGTGGAAAGTCCAGATAGGAAATTGAACAAGCAGATCTACCTGAAATGTCTTGGGCACGGAGAAAGCTTGTGGGTTTCCCTTATTACTGGGGATTTTCCATTTGATGGACAAGGCAACTGCTGACCTTCCATATAATAAAGTCCAATGAAAATGAAATAAACTTGTGAAGATACAACTGGGAGAGATTTTATTTTGAGGGAAGCTCTTGAGAAAGCTGCTGATTCTTTCCTCGGGATTTGATGATCTGTTTAGTTATGCTACGAGCCATCTTCCTCACAACTTGTGTACTGCATTGCAGGAATATGTCTTATAATCCAGCAGTAGCACCAATGACCTCCTCCTTAGCAGATTGTACTCTGGGCAATGACAACAAACCTGATTCATGTATGATAATTATTCAGAAACCCTTAACATGTAAGTAGGAGTTATTCCCCAGAAGGAACAATGTTTGGGCAAACATAAGTAAGAATATACAGTCCATGTCTGAACTGAAGGGATCACTGATTAATTATCAGCATTTGACTCCTATTGATGCTGAAAAAGAATGTGAAAAGATATCTTCTAATGGTTTTAAACAGAATATTGATTTTAAAAATTAAATAACCTGAGAGTAAATGTTCTTACTGGGGGTGGGATTATCTACCAGTTGTGATTTGTTACAGTAAGATCACTTGCATTAAAAGTAGGGGGAAAGAGAAGCTTTAAGTCATCGAATTATTTTGAAATTGAATAAGGGAAAGAGATTGAAATAAAAAATAATAAGAAGATGAAACTTAAATAGTTTGGCCACCTAATGAGAAGGAAGGACTCACTGGAGAAGAGCCTAATGCTGGGANGACAACCCTTGGCAGCAATGCAAACAAACTCTGGCAGCAATCCAGCCTACCAAGTTTGTTTCTCTTTAGTCAAAGCATTGACTTCTGCAAGTAGGGCTTGGCACAAGCAGTCTCTTTTATAATCAGGAGATGATCTTAATGAGCATCAGCTGAGCCTAATTATCTCCTGTAATTACGTAGTTGTTCTTGACACCGAGTAGCCCTTCGACGGCGTGCATCCCGCAACAACTCACAGTTGGTTTCTGGATCACTCTCTCTTGTCTCCTCCCCACTGATCCAAGGCTCAGGCCAACCAGTCTCTCTGCGCCCTGCTCGGAGTCGGAACCCTGTCCAGGGTCCTCCACATTCTCCAGGGCCGACTCATAGGGCCCCTCACTGTCGGAGTCTGGTGGCAGCTCCAACGGCTCCTGCCGGGCCACAACACCACCTAACCAGTACCTGTGGCCCAAGACAAAAGAGGAAGTAAGACAGTATCTATTTGAGGCTTCTTTTCTCAAGATAACCAATAAGAAATGTGTTAAGTGTTTCTGTGTTGCGCTGCTTTTGGGAACGTATAAGAATGCGGGCTTCCATGAGAAGGCTTGTTCAGAAGTTGCACGCTAGCCTTAGACTAGCTTTCCTGAACCTGGCTGCCAATAAACTTCTCCTTGATCCCGAGACAACTAAGTCTTGTTATTTTCTGCAACAGCACAATACAAGATAAACACACCCCAGTCTCAACTTTTGGCTTTTACACGTCAATATATAACTAGCCATTTGTATCACACCAAATCTTTCTAATCAACAAAACCAAGATCAACGTTTCATTATTATTATTATTTTGGTCTTCACAAGCACCCATTCCAGAAGGGATATCCAAATGAGAAGACATTTTCCTCTTTAAATAAAGTAATCAAGTTAACGATTCCTGCTTTATCTTCCTTGCTATGGAAATAACTATTTGCACTGAGTCATCTTTATAAACGGTCACCGTTTTTACCATTTCCCCTCTCCTTCTTTTCTATAGCTTTACCCTGCCCCGAGAACAGCGTCTATAACATCTGTGGATCGGTCTGTCCCGCCACTTGCAGCAACGAAGCTCTTCCACCCCACTGTTCTTCTTCACAATGTGTCGAGTCTTGCCAGTGTAAGGAGGATTTCGTGATGGATGCTGGGAAGTGCGTCCCGCGAGCTGCCTGTGGCTGCCTCTTCGAGGGCCGCCTCTTGGCTCCCAATGAGGAGTTCTGGGGAGACAACACATGCACAAAACGCTGCACCTGCGACCCACAGAACAAGGAGGTGAAATGCCGGGACACCAAGTGCAGCCAGGGAGAGCAATGTCAGGTGAAGAATGGCATCCAGAACTGCTATGCTATCAGCTATGGGACCTGTTCTGTCATCGGCCACTCCCACTATCACGGCTTCGATGGTCACACTGTTAACTTCCAGGGCACCTGTCTCTACAGATTTGCTGGGCTGAGTCAGAAGAAGCCAGGGTTGGTTGCTTTCCAGATTTTGGTCCAGAATTCTCATCAGGGGGGCTGGTCTGGGACCCCTAAAAGGGTGGTCAAGATTGAAATCTACAACCTGGAGATCACTGTCAGCTGGGCGTATCTGGGCAGAATTACGGTGAGTTGAATCTAATGGAGATAGCTAGCTAGCTAGTTAGATGATAGATAGATAGATAGATAGATAGAGATAGATAGATAGATAGATAGATAGATAGATAATGATAGATAGATGATAGATAGATAGATAGATAGATAGATAGATGATAGATAATGATAGATAGATAGATAGATAATGATAGATAGATGATAGATAGATAGATAGATAGATAGATAGATGGATAATGATAGATAGATAGATAGATGATATAGATAGATAGATAGATAGATGATAGATAATGATAGATAGATAGATAGATAAATAATGATAGATAGATAGATAGATGATATAGATAGATAGATAGATAGATGATAGATAATGATAGATAGATAGATAGATAGATAGATAGATAGATAGATAGATAGATAGATAGATAATGATAGGTAGATAGGTAGATAGGTAGATAG